AAAATCCGTTGTAAGTGAGCTACGCCTACACAATTTTTAATATAACTTTTAAATAATTATAATGTTATTAGGTCCTTAAAATAATTATTTGGGATATTATTATGAGTTATATTGAGTGTTATTTAACGCTTATATAATAATAATAATAATAATAGCTAGACTATTAATTAGTCGCGGTTAACGTTAAAACTAAACTCTAGTGGTATTAATACTAGATTTTGATCAAGGAAAAATTGTTTTGAGATAACGAAGTGCTGTTCGAGTACCGAGTCACCACCTAATCAGGTGAGTGCATAGTTACTTTCATCTTACACATAGATATGAAGTATTTTATATAAATTACGTGCTATGTGTGCATATTATCTGAATACTTGATGTCTATGTTGGATGAATGATCTTATACACATTTTTCATGATTTAAACTGTATATGTATTTTATATCTACAAAAATGTTGGGGTAAAACATGGGTAGATGTAATAAGACGATGTGTGATAAAATAATAAGAGGCCTCGATGTTGTTGGTGATCCAGTCATCTAGCGGAGTATAGATGACGACCACAGACTCTTCTAGACAGTCCAGTGGAACGCTAGCAGGCTCGCAACCTGTAGGTGTTTGTGAACGATGTGTTCACCGGTGTACTCCATCCCCCTCATGGTTGCCTTTAGGACATTTATTGCTGAGGAACCCCCTTGGCAGTAGTGTCCATCCCGATGATGATCCTTAGGCTAGGTCCCTTATGATAGGTGTTTAGGGACGTAAAGTGAGGATAACGGGAACGGGTAATCGAGTTATTGTTGATTGATGAAATTAATAAATTTATTTATTGTGGGTTGAAAACCCTATGTGCTTACCAGGCTCCCAAGCATGACCCACTCAGTTTCATGTATTACAGGTAGTGGCGCTCGAGCATATATGTGATGTTTTGGATGAGGGATTACGGATATAGGCCTGTAGATATGAAATAATGTAGTAAGGCTTATATTGTACTGTTTATGCTTTTGATCTGTATCGAACATGACATCCCGAGTCTTTTAATGAAATACATTTCTACGGAAATGTTTTTGATAAATCTTTATCATATTTCGTTTTGGGACAAATTCCGCAACACTTTTATTTAAAATGTTACTCTGATTTTCAAACAAGCATAAACAAAATCGGTCTTTTCTGGCCGTGAAAATGGGGACGTCACAGAAACCCTACCCTCCTCTCACTTATTTTGACCACTGGCATCATTTTTGAGCTTATTTCTCCATTAGAAGGTGGAATCTTGAAGAACAAGGTAGTGAAAAGTGTATGGAAGAAGGATTCAAGTATAGATCCAGCAAGATTACATCATTTCTGGACCATTGTTAGTAAAAAGCTTCAAACTTGCTCATTAGTTTCATAGATCTTGTTAATTTTCATATTTGTCACTTTTTGGTTACTTTAGTGCATAAAGTTTAGATCTTGAAAGTTTGTGACCTAGTTATGGATAAAGTTGGAAACTCTATCCATCTAAACATCATATTTATTCAGATCTGAAGGTTGGAGACTTGGACTTAATGGATTAAGTTGAGAAAGATGCATGTTTGGTCCCTTTGAGACTTAAAGACTAGATCTTGGTTGTTTGGACCATCCTAATGGATAAAGTTGGAAACTTTATACATTATGGAGTTATTAAGAACCATAAAAATGAGATCTTGGTCCTTATATCCCTTCCATGCAAGAGTCATGATGTCTTAATGGATTATTAAGTCAGGGTTTTAGCTTTTGGGCCTTGTCTAGCCATGGAAAGTCATAAAGGTGGAAACTTTATGACTTAGAATGATGTTATGGGTCTAGATCTAAGTTTGGACGTGAGGTCTTTAAGGAATAAGTTCTTAATATGAAGTTTTGGATTCAGACGGAGTACGTTAGGCGTACCAATAGGTACGTTGCACATACTGGGTTAGAGTCCCATGGTTTTGGATGAGATACAACTACGCCCAACATAGTAGCTGAGTACGTAAGGCGTACTCATCCAACTTGACCTTTCATTGACTTTTTGACTTTATGCTTTGACCGTTGACCAAGATTTTGACCAAATGTGATCTAGGGGAGTTTTGGGTATTTTGAGTGGTATTTTGAGTTGAAGGCCCTGGTTTTTGTTTAGGAGATCAGTAGAGGCAGTAATCGGAGCATCGTTTGGTCAAACTATCTTTTCAGACTATGAGGTGAGTTTTCCTCACTATACTTGTGGGTCGAATGCACCAATGTCGGCCCATTAGGTTATGTATCATGGTATAGAGGATGTTGTTATGTTATATTGATCTGTTAGATCTGTATCCTAGTATATAGGATGTTATTATGAAGTAGTGATATGTATATATGTATGTTTGTCTGTTGTCTGGTTATATGATTATCTGTTTATTGGATATATGTTATTTGTTATATATATATATATATATATATATATATATATATATATATATATATATCTATATATATATATATATATATATATATCGACATAGTGCGGTTGGGTTGAGGCAATACTGCTCTGTGCGGAAGCCAACAAACTCGGGAGCAATCCAGACATAAGCTGAGGGGCGGAAAGGCAAGCCAAACTTATGATGTGGGCTCGGGAGCAAGCCTTACATAAGTTGAGGGCTGGTAAGGCAAGCCAGACTTATGTTGTAGGCTCGGGAGCAATCCAGAAATGGGTTGTGGGCCAGAAAGGCAAGCCAGACTCATGCTGTGGGCTTAGGGTAATCCAACCTGATGGTTGTGGACCCAGTATGGATGTTGTTATATGTTTGTGTGGTGGTATTTTGGGGGAAGTCACTAAGCTTTGGCTTACCGTTTTAGTTTTATGTTTTAGGTACTTCAGATGATCGGGGTAAGGCGAAGGCTTGATCGTGCATATCTTTCATATTTTTTGAGATTTGATTTTGGGATACTCTTATTTGTGATTTTGACTTTTGGAAACTAAGTTTGTAAACATGTATGGTTTGTGGTTTGGTTTTGAAAAAAATCAAAAATTTTACCTTGATTTTCGAGATGTTACACAAGTTGAATTGAAATCAAGGAATGTGAAGTACCTCATCTTCATTGTTGTCAACAATCTCTTTAATCCTCATAACCTCACCAAAAATCAAGGAGTACTCTTCGATTTCATCGGTCAAAGCTTCCACAACTCCATAATCGTAACTGCTAATTTGATGGTTACCCACATTAAGGTCTTGTTGTTCTTCGTCTCCAGGCAAACCTAATTCCACCTTATCACATCCATAACATTTAATCAAATTACAAGAGAATAAAGTTTCAGCAAAGCCATATCTCCTAATTCGAAACTCTTTTGAGTAATCAGAAGCAACAATGATGATTGGCTTTCTCGATGGTTTCAAATATATCGCCATTTGAGCTCTTAAAATAATTCCTCCAGTAATACGTTCATACAACAGATTTCGAAGCTGCCATTGTAACCGCCTTACCTCCACCAAACTCGAAACGAAATCCACAAAGATCATATACTTCGATTATTTGAAAGATCTTTGGCGGGTTGTACCCGATTTGATTACACCCCACAAATCGAAAAGCTTTGATTGTGAAATAAATTTGGTAGAAATTACGGAGTACCAGAAGAACAGAAGAAAGGAACAACAACTAAGATGGAAGAAGGCGATGGAGGCCAAAAGATAGGAGGGAGAGATGGAACTCGATTTTTGGCGATGGAGAAAGGTGTGTGGTTCTGGATGGTTGATCGATCACGACGGCTGAGGGATTGAATTTTCCCCTCAAAACCTGATTAACAAATTCTATAAAAAAATGATTTAATTTTGGATATAACATGTAAAGGGTATTTTGGTAAATCGATATGTATTTTTTATTTTAAATATATTTTTTGATATTCAATTGATTTATATATCATTAAATTATAAAATTGGATATAAATGTGAGTTTAGTAGGTTAATAAGGATATATATGTAATTATGAACTTTGGAAAGATATAAACATAATTCTTTATATTATTGACGACAGTGAGTCAATAACCATCCCACACATATCAGCCCTTCAAACTCCCCAACTTTCAATCTGGACCGTAATAACTCTGTATTTACGGTTAGTCGGAGGTTCCCAGCCGTGCTCAACTCCTCCACACGCTTCCTTCTTCTTATCCCCCACGTTCACAGTCGATTTATCGATTTCGCTGCCTCCTTCCAAGAGTGTTTCAGTTATGACACTTCCCCTTTAACCAACCACGATAAAGAGGTTCTGAAAACCCTGGATCCAGTGCTCGTAGTTCCAGTCCTGGAGCCTCTTGTCAATATAAACTGCTTTTTGCAATTATATATTCTTATGTTTGTCCTTATGGGTGGTTTTATCTGAACCGATAAGTTGACAATGTTGACTTTCAACCAAGGTTCTAAATAACGCGAGGCGTGGCTTGGCGGCAAGGTCAAAGTTAAGCCATGACAAGCTTTGGCGAGCCATGACGTTTTTCAAGGCGTGACTATTTTATATATATTAAAATCATATAATTATTGAATTTTATCAAGTATATCAAGTTTTTAGAAGTGTTATATTAGTATTTAATATAAAAAGTTAACAAAAACTCAATTATTTTAGGCCCGATAAAAAAAACAAAAAAACCCGCGCCTTGAAAATAACTCGCGCCATAACGCGATAAGGCGCGCCTTGACACGTTATTTGGGCGCCACGCTTAACAAACCCGCATTGGACGTTTTTGACTCTTAAATTGGCTGTCGTCTTTATTTTATGTTATGTATGCAACACAATTATAAATACTATTTCAAGACATGAAAGATAAGTGGGTAGATTTGTCAACCTAGTTCTTAATGAAAGAGGGATATGACACTAGTTCTTAATGAAAGAGGGATATGACACTAGTTATTAATGTTTGCAAGAACATGTGTGAAATTTCTGATTTACTATGCATCTTAATGTTACAAAAAGCTCCGTTTAGGGACTATAAAAACGAAACTCAAACTAGGTGGACCAGAATTACAAGTTTCTGATATTGATAACATGGAGAGGGGCAGAGATTGGACTGCACAAACTCTGGGAAAGGCAAAGAGTAGAGAGGAGAAGTGTCCTAAAAAATGTCTGTAACAACCTTCAATCCCCTCTCCTCGCTTTACACGCACCATACGCTATCGCCAATTACCACCAATTTCATTCATTGCGCAGTATTCATCTCCCTCTGTCCCTTGGTTTCTGATTATGTTTGCTGTTTCTTATTTGTATCGACATTTTTGATTCGAAGATGAGATGGGTGTTGTGTTATTGCAGGAATTGAATCCCCGTTTGCGCTATAATGGTGCAAGGCTTCTGAGTATTTGTCCTCATGCTATTTCTTCACGAGACCAAGGTATATAAGAAATTGGGCTTAGTGTAATGTTGCTTGTTTGTCGTTCTTCAAGTAGCACTTAAAGCTTATCGATCATTGTTTAAACATGTACTTTTATCTGATTTCGATTTCAGAGACTCAAATATGTTTAATGTTGAATTCGAAATTGACATAGTTTCTTTTAGGGCGAATGTGCATTTAGATCATTCAGAAAATTGTAAAATTATATAAATATCCATATGTGAACTATCTGATTTCGATATGTAAACCACCATATGTGAACTTTTCCTTATTGATAGTTCCAGAAAGGAAATCCCATGTGCATTTTAGTACAAAATAGCATAATCTGAATATTAATCTCTATGGTTTCTCATATATATGATCTTTGCCTTATTGATTTAATCCACAGGAGTGTTAGATTCTGAACTACATTCTGTTCTTCAGTTGGCTACAGGCTCTGAACTATATGAGGTGGAAAAAATTCTTTTTGGAACAAGGTGTAACCTATTCACTCTTGTCTTGAAGTCAAAAAAACTGTATATGATTTTGTGGGAATATGAATGTTTTCTTATGCAACCCTACAAAAAATTACAACTTTTTTGACATGAATCTTTGTAATTTTTGGACAATCTTCATACTAATTATGTCAAAAAACTTTTCAATCCAGTTACTTTAGTCCATTGTTGAAGTCCATAGCAAAACCATCCGAAATTGATTATGTAATGATTGAGGAAGATCCTGAAGAGAGAGAGGAGTTTATAAGGATTTTGGAATCAAGATTCTTCTTCCTTGCAGCTGATGCTCGATCTTCATTGAGGTAAAGTTAGGGACAATTAGGTAATTTACATTTTTTGAGTTGAAGTAGCAAACAAGATGTAACTATATTCCAAAATCATGTCCTTCGAGTGTGTTTGTATGTGTGGTGTTTAAGTGATTGCCAATTGTAGAATCAGATAATCAGTTCCTTAGAGGCAGGGGTAAATTGGTAATTTTACATTTATGTTAGTAGTTATTTTCAGGGGTTGGAGGCCTACGTATAGGAATGTTTTGCTTGGTGTGAGAAAAGAACTAAAAATACCTTGTTCAACAAAAATATCAACCGAAGATTTGGAAGTAGAAATTTTCCTTCACTTGTTGCAGGAGTACTCAAGGTAAAGTAAATACTCAAAAATCAAAATATTGTCTTTTTTTAGTATTTTTCAATTTACTTTATTAGAAAAGTTGCAGACTTTCTATTAAGTGATGTATAGATAAGATGCTGAATGGATAAATGATGTATGCCTAGGGGAAGTGTTTATGTTTAATGAACAAAGATTGTTTCTTTTTTGGACTGAATGAGAGTGAATGACCATTTTGCCCTTGTGTCTAGAATTGATGCTGTACATTGGCACATTTTATATTTTTAAAAAATGTTTGCAGTGAAGGTTCAAGAAGCTTGAAAAACACTTCTGATAGTTTAGAAGTTGGCTTAAGTCCATGGAAAGTGCAGGCTTTTGCTGCTTTAGGACATGGAGCTGAAGAGATCTTTTCAACAATTCTGAAGGTTTTACTTATTTATGAATTATAATAATAATAATTCTTTTTACATATTTCTCTTTTGCCCCTTGTATTTATATTCTCTTTTGGTTATTAGAAAAAATGTTTTTATTAAGGGCTAAATGCAAGAAATGGAAACTTACTTTCAATGTTTTGTTTTCACTTTTTCCTATTACAACATTGTACTTTGAAAAAAAAATATGATATAATCATGTAGATTTCATGAATAAATGAAAGTATGTTGCTATTTATTGCATTTATTCCTTTTCTTTATTTTTGGTTTTATAGGGTGGAGGGATGTTTACAGTGGGAAAGCTATACAATTTGGTAAGAAATTACTTTTTTGAATAAATTTTCACAAATTGAATTCTCAACTTTAAAAAAATGAACAAAATCATGTTGTGTTGTAGATATCAAGTAAATTATCAGGCAAAGTGTTCTTGGAAGCAGCCAATTATCAAATAAAGAAGGAAGTTCTCAAAGAGGTAAATAATATATATATATATATATATATATATATATATATATATATATATATATTATATGTTAATGTTATGATTGTTAACAGGGTGGAAGAATGGCAGCTATAAACTTGGAGTCAAGAGCAGCTTTACTTGCAGCAAAACAGGTGATTGGATTTGGATATAAATATAATATATTTATATTATCATAATCTATTTATTTAAGTTATGAATTTTATTTAATGAAAATATTGTTTATGGATTGGTGATTTTGTAAACAGGGGTTAGCAGGTGCTGCATCGCGATATCTTGGAGTTAGGAGCATAATGGTGTTACTTGGTCCTATGTATTATTCCCTTTTTACCCTTCCACTAATAATACTTTATTTATTTATGTATTTATATTTATTTATATTTATTTATGCAGGCTATGGGGAACATTACTAGCAGACATTGTTATTCAAATGCTTGGAACTGATTATGCAAGAATCTTGCGTGCAATTTATGCATTTGCACAGGTAATCTCCAAAAAGTAATAAACTATTATTGCTTAATCTAAAAAACATTCATCATTTGATGATATAAATGAAAATGAATATATATACATGTGGTTTGGATTAATTTATATAGTAAAAATAATGTTATTTTTATATGGTGGATGTTTTTTGTGGTCCAGATCAGAATCTCACGAACATACAGGCTACCATCGGATAGCAGATGAGAATAGTAGTGATTTAGTTTTAACTTTTATAGTGGTTGGTTTACTTTGTCTTATCATGTATCATTATTATATGATTATTATATCATGTGTGTGTGTATATATGAAATGCAGATAGATAGTTTACACTTTACACAAAACAAATATAATTTTATTTATATGTTCTTGTTCCCCTAAGGTAGAAATGTGAATATGTTAAAGTGGTCATGGTATCAGGTATTAATATAAGCCTAAAACGGGTATCTGTGACAACTCGAAAAAATTTTGTTTTGAAAGCTCAGTCAACTCAACTGAGTGTCAAACTCATTGGTAATGAGTTCTAGCCTGGTTAAAGGTCATTCTAAGGAGTTTTTAAGCCTAGTACACTTAAGGAATGAGTGTAGAATGTACCTGCTAGAGACACTGTTCAACAAATCGAGCCTTAACCTCTTCAAAAAGAGTTCACGGCCACAACACTTGAGTTTACGGCCGTAAACTCAAGGTGGGCCGTAAACTCCCCCTTAAGGACTCATTTTCTTCACTTTTCATTCATTATCTCATTTCCACTTCAAGAAACTTGATTTCTCTCTCAAGTATCATCCCGATTTTCATCCTAGATCATCAAAAAGTTGTAAGTGTTCTTCCTTGATTAGTTGATACATCTCTTAATCTAGTTTCATCCATTGATTTCATCCATGAAATCATTCCATTTGCTAGATCTTCAAGTTTCACCAAGAACACACACTAGTGTTCTTGGCCAAAATCAACCATTTCAAGCCTCTATATCGTAAGTACTCTTCCCTACACTTGATATCTAGTTAGGACTCATGCTTAGAGCCTTGAAAACATCAAAAACACAAGATCAAAAGGAGTTTACGGCCAAGCCATCTCCCATGGCCGTAAACCCCTTTAAGGGTGCCATTTTGGCCATAAACCCTCCTAGATGCAAAGCTTGTGACCTAGAACCCTTCCTTGATGGAAATAGGACCTTAAACTACTCTCAAATGCAAAATGACCATGAGTTTACGGTAGTAAACTCCCTTGGGCCGTAAACTCATCAAAAGCCTCCATTGAATCGGTCTTTCTCATCCTTGTGTAGAGCAAAAGTCCCTAAAGCTTCCCTAGCCTTCAAACAAACACTTATGCATGTTTGACCATGAGTTTACGGCCGTAAACTCCCTTTGGCCGTAAACCCATGGTAGTAAACTCATATTAGTACCATTCCACTCTCCTTTGATGAATCACATGTGATTCCAACACTTGGTCAAAGTGTTTCCTAGTCCCGGAAGGTGTTTCCTTTCATATAGTTGCTTATAAACACTATATTCATGCCAATATATGTCAATATATGTCATTTAGGACTTGTTGTGTCTCGGGACTTCATTCGTGAAACTTCTCATCCTTACACGCGTATTCGTTGAATCACCCACATCAGGTGAGTTCATACCCCGTAATGAATCTTTTAACTGTTTTAAATGCTTTTAAGGGGGGGGGGGGGGGGGGAATATAAGTTGAACACAATGATAATTGTGTAATTGTTTGTTATAAACATCTTTCAAAATGTTGCTTATGTCTTTTATAAGTGATCAAAACATTTCAAAAACTCTTTTAAAGTTTTGTTACTTTATAGTTTAATCAAACTCCGTTTTCAAAGTACAAGCATAACTTAGTAGTAAAATGAGTCTTTTCAATAACAGTTCAAGTAAAACGTTAGTAAACTATAATAGGTATAGTTTATGAAGATACTATTCATTACTTCTAGTACAATGAAGCATACAAAGAGTCAGAACATACATACATACATACATACTAGACAGAGAGAACATACAATACAGCTAGTACATACTATACATTATACAAGAAAACATATTATGATGAGAAACAAACAGAACAAACATATTAAGTTGCTATAGCATGGAACTACTACAGGATCTAATTATACCAATGAATCACTAACTCATTGTTCTAAACAAAAGGTGATAGTTATATTGGGTATACATGATCATATAACTTTAATGTGAATTACACGGCGTAGCAACTGGTTTGCTAAAAAGTCGCGTTTGGTTACCTTAATCTCTAGACAAGGAGAGCGTATAGTAGGGGTACTAGCCTTCACATTATGACCAGTATAAAATAAACATGTTTTAAGGTCATCAATACATCCGTATGTTATTTCAAACGACAACTGTGTACTTACATTTCCCATTACTTTCATAAAGTGACAGTACCACTTGAAAGTCAAATGCAAACTATTTTCGAGTTAAGATAGTTATAAACTAGGGAAAACTTACATTTTACAAACGACAAACAGAACAGTTGAGTCTAGTACATTCAGTAGAAAGGGACCATAATGCTAACCTTATGATTCCTTAATGTATACATCAAAAGATATATATATATATATATATATATATATATATATATATATATATATATATATATATATATATACATATATATATATATATATATATATAACAATAGGATCCGACAGATAATAGGATGTGTGCTCTCCGCTTCACTTCCTGTTCCTTGTTTGGTTGTGGGCTTGGAACGGATTCACCCAATCTATTATCAATTCGATTTTAGATATATATATATATATATATATATATATATATATATATATATATATATATATATATATATGTTCAGTATACATTAAGTCATCATAAGGGTACCAGGTATGGGTCAAGTCATGGGACACAAAGTCAATGCACAGTTTTCTAGTACAAAACATACTTTCCAAATCAGAACTTTTGGTATACAAAACTAGAAACTTCCCAGTAAAGGGTTTAATCCATTTTATTAAACCAATATAAACTTAAAGGACTTTAGGTGATTAACTCTATAATACCTTAGCTTATACATCATGGTTATATATCATTAATACCCAACAGATAGTTGGATGGATGCTTTCCGCCTTACTTCCTGTTCCTTGTTTGGTTGTGGGCTTAGGGCAGACTCACCCAATTAACTATCTATTCGATATTAGATCATATATAGCCAGTATAACTAAGCGATTATAGAAGTAATCACTGTGGTCACCATTTTATTATAAGAAATAAGGGTTTTCTTAAAGAATCTTTTCATCAAATATAAAGGAACTATTACAGTTAACTCCGTGAGTACCAAGTGAATACGCCAGGGTTATATACAACGATGATCAAACAACCAATGGACTGTGTGCCTTCCGCCTCATTTCCTGCTCCTTGTTTGGTTGTGGGCTTAAGGCAGATACACACAACCCATTGTTTGTTTACTCTGGGTTTTATATAACTTGTATCCATTTAATACTCATAGAAAGGACTGTAGAGTCATTTTTACTTATCTTTCATCAAAGCAGGAAATATAGGATTTTCTGGAGGAACAGACAAACTTTTCTAAACTAAACTTACTACATTTTACTACATTTTCAACTACATTTTACAGCTTACTTACATCACTAAAATCTTATGAACTCACCAGCTTAATTGCTGATCAACTCTTTCAAATAACTTGTATTCTCAGGAGACTAATAGACAGGTACTCGTGCTGGGAATTCAGAAGATGGAGCATAGTAGCTTTAAGTCTTGTTTTGTTATTTGCTTATGAATTCTATGTTTTGTGAACACACACATTGTAAACACTTTCTTTCTAATGAAATGGTTGTTCATTACTTGCTTACTATAATGCATATCTTGTGATACTAAACATGACGTCCTCCACCCCCGAACGTTTCCGTCGTTCCGGTTTTGGGGTGTGACAGATTGGTATCAGAGCATTGTTTATAGTGAACTAAGTATATCAACCGATAAAAGATATACAACTATAAATACAATGGGGCTTAAGTGCTCTGGATAATGTTATATTTTAAGAGTATAACGATAAGTTATAAAAATATACCTACTTGCTTATACATGTACATACTAGACCAAGTATCACAAGAAGAACAAAACTAAAGTATTTAAAGGTTGAACACTGTCGTCAAACCTGAACAGTTATGTAATTATAGCTAGGATCAATATAGCCTGATCAACTATATTCATTCGAGATGTGACCGACATGTGTTTGGGAGTGATATGGTGTTGCAACAGTCTTAAAACTTACCTAAACACCAGTCAAGAGAATTCTAGATCAAGTACATTAGAGTTAGAATACTATAGGAGTATTCTATGATACTATAACACAATAACAAGTTTGAAACATACCAAGTACATTACATTAAAGTACTATAGGAGTATTTTAGACCATGTAAACAACTTAGGTGACAACTTAAATGACCCTTACGGATAGGTCTATAATCTTGCAATGTATACTCCCAAGGTTATATATAATTGAGATTTTATAGACTTAGAATTTGTGATCTACGCTTCACTACCTGTTCCTTGTTTGGTTGTGGTTTTGGAGTAGGATCACTTATTCGAAGGTCTATTTAATCTTGAATTATATACAACTTGTATACATTGTACAATTATAGAAGGACTCTGTAAGGATCACCCCATAAAGTTACCCTAAATCTCATAGATTCTTTAGACACTTCCATTCTCGCACGACAAACCCAGATAGATGTAACCACTTCCTCATAAGCAGTCAAGAGAAGTTTCAAGGAAGGATCAGCCGAAGTAACCAGAACGTCTAATGAGTCACACTAATAAATAATAATCTTGGTTAACTAAATGAGTTAGTGGAAACACTACTCACATTACGTGTTAGGATTATTTTCTTACATGCAGCTGGTAACGGTTATTCAGGTAACAGATATTCATTCGAGGATAGCCATTTCTAATTCATAAAGTTTATTTGGTATAGACTTTTTATGAATTGTTTCTAGAACCCTGTGGAAGTCAGGACCCGATACACCCAGAACTAGGATAACCTTGTCTTTTAGCTTTCGGCTTGTGTCCATTGCTTTAGACTTATTCCGTCTCATATTTGTATTCTTTTAGCAAAGATGCCTCCTCGTAGATCAAACAGACGCACTACTCCGATAACTCCAACACCTCCTCCACAAATCGATACGACAACTCTAAATGTTACAGTAGCTGCGGCTGTGGCAACAGCCATGGCTCGATATCATCCTACCAGTTCCAGCGGAGGTGGAACACCTGTTCATCCTACTCAAAGTGAGGTCCCTGTGCACTCGAGAGAGTGCTCCTACAAGGACTTCACCAACTGCAAACCTCTTTCTTTTAATGGAAAAGGTGGAGTCATCGC